TCATGGCGCAATGCACCAGTTTTTAACGCCGTTGTCTAGTCACAAAAGATCGATAGTACAATTTAACTAAGACTCGATCAAGAAAACTCGCATAAAATGGCAACATGGAAACAACAACAAACAAAAAGTAGTTGCTAGGCCTTTAGTTACCTTCAATACTATGTAAGAATCTCCGGTAAAGAACTTCCCAATAGAAGACTTTGGAATGGGTGCAGGGCGGAAATTTTCTATACGCCATACCTCAATACCGCTAAATTTAACAGTCAAGGAGAATTTCATGTAGAGAAAAAAAAAAACACAATAACCGAAATGATTTGAAAATTGCAGGAAACAATACGACTGAGTTAGAGATTCGAAATTGAAGGATACGCTTTCTGTCCAGCTCCTTGGAAAGCTGGATCCAAATCTCTCATGGAAACAGACATACTTAAGCAGTCTTTACACTCTCTTCAACTTATGAACACCGCAACGATAGAGAACACTAATAACCTATGATGCAACACCAACTAAGAGTAAATATTCAAGAATCAACAGAATGCAAACCAGTTCTACCAAAATCAATCCAAGAACACATTTCATCGCAGACAGAAAATGGTTATTGTAACAGGCATAGTTCCAATAAGAGTCGCAGAAACTACAATCGCTCTCACCAGTACCAGGCACTAATGAAAATCCCATGATTTGATTCAGCTTATGAATAGAAGAGAAACTAGAAAACCAATAGAAGAAACAAAAAAAAGCCAAAAGTTTTCTCATGAATTGAAATGACTATATAACTCAGAATCCAAACCGGTCAACATCATCTCAAGTCAGTTTCAGTCAAAATGCAAGGCGTTATGATTCATTACCAACAACCCACTCAGGTAAACCAAAAAAAAAAGAAAAGAAAACTCTGAAATTTATGTTACATTGGAAGTAGGGTTTATGGAATTTTCAGTTCCCCAGACAAACAATAAAACCTCAGATGAAACCAAGGCAGAACCCAGAAATTCGAGAAAAAAAGAGGAAGAACATTTCCATTCAAACATCATAATAACTCACAAAACCCAACATTTCTATCATCATCATCATCACAAAAACCAAGGTAAAGCTCAAGGAATTACAAATCTATCTCCAATAGTTAAACCAAACATTTGCCTTCTCCAATCAATACTACAGGGAAATTCCAGTAATCATATACTCCTAATCAGATCAATGGAACTCTTAGAAATAAGCTAATCCAAAGATAAATCCACAACTAAATCAGAAAACTGAAAATTTTCAGAGAAAGTAATAAAAACATCGAACATAAATTTCAGTATTTACCTTTATAAATCCGCTATTCAGCTACAAGCCCAGATCCAATCTGATGAGAAAAAATTGCAAAAATACAAAATTTTAGTCAAATTTGTTTCCTTTCCCTGGGAGACGAAGCAAAAGATGAGCAAAAGCAGAGGAAAAAGTGAGAGAGAGAAGAAGAAATGGAGAATTGAATTGAAAGCTTTATTTAGAGAGAGAAGCTGATAAACAATTGAAGTCTTAGAGAGAGAGAAGGAAAAGGTAAAGAGAGAGAGAACAATTTCAAGAGAGAGAAAGGTTGGAGGGAATGATGAGAAGCCAGGCGTGCTTATCACTAACCCACAAGACAACCATGAACTGTAAATTTTTTTGATTCTTCAATTATAAAACACACAAAGAAAAGAAAAAAAAAACAGAGAAGTCAACAAAAAATTAGACCTTTGGAGAAAATTGTTGTTCTTTGTGTTTTTTTTTCAGAGAACAAAAAAATCGAAACTTTTTACGGTTTTTGGTTGGTGATTATGTCGTTACCACTTCTGGGTTTCTCTGACCATATTTAAACAGTAATGAATAGAGATTTGTCGCAAACATAAAATCTATTAATCCATTAATGTTTGACTACGTATACGCTTCAGGTTTAGAACAACAATGCCAGAAAATAATAAAATCTTCACAAAATTTAGAACTACAAAACCATAAACTCTATAGATATATGTAAATAAATTCACAATTAAATTGGTCACATCTCTTTTTTTTAATTAATTTGTTGTCTTTACAGGTAAGAAATTTGGTTCTCCATAAAGTCAAAACTTTTTCATTAAATTTTATGCTCCTGATGACGTTACTAACTATGGAGTCCCAAACAATATTTAGGGAATCTGAAAATTAAGGTTCTTAAACGTAATCATAAGTCATAACTCATACATAAGTTCATAAGATCAGAATTAAGTAAGAAAAAAAATTTGCACAGGATAAAAAAGAACAAACAAAAGGTACTATTACCTTTAACTTTAAGGCTGTTTGTCATACTTTCATTCTCTCTCTCTCCAGTCTTCGTTAACAAATAATTTCGAGCTTTTTTGATGATTGATTATAGAGAAATGGGTTATAATTTCATGAACTGGGAAAACAACAAAGGTCTCATGAATTAAATAGCTTCTTTAGGTGATCCAGTTAGACCAATCTTCGTTCATTGAAAGACCAAATTCGATTCATACCATTAAATTTTAAAATCTTTGACAAGTAGTTTAGTCACTTTGTTGGGGTTTTCTTTTTAGTTTTTTACTCTTAAATTAATAATCAGCTACTTATTCATGAAAAAATAAAAACTGGTTTTATAGAAATATTAAAAATAATAATAAATTAATAATTTAAAATTTAAAATTGTTTCTACTTTTAAAATATGTATTTCCATGAAATTTAGCTTAATTTAGTTTAATTTGTTTACTTTCTCAAAACTTATAATGCAATCATTTTTCATTTGATTCATTGATTTTAATTATAAATACGGATACATAGAAAATATAAAAATCAATTTTTTTCTAACCAAAGAAAAATTTTCATACAAATGGAAGGAGTAATAATCAAATAATTCAGTTGACATAAATCAATTAGATATGACTAACAGATTCATGTTCGAATTTGTATTGCTATTCAAAAATAAAAAGAAATAGAAAGACCGAACACATAAATTTTATTTTTCAGAAGTAAGGACCATTGTATCTTGATTTTTGTTAAAGACAAATTTCATCTGCTTTTTACCATAATCGTGACTAATACGTGCATTACTCCAAATTGGTTCACGTTTAAGTACATGTACCAAAGACTTCGTATAAGTTATTAATTTCTTGCTAAAGAATAAAGATGGTCTAAATTTATTACTATATATTTTCCTATTTATTTGATGTAAAATTACTATTTCATATGACGATTAGTTTTTTAACTGATTTTTTTTTCAGATCTGATATGCGATTAGAAAAATATTGTTTGTGACCAAAACTATGATACACTTCCTTGAATCTGAAATATAAGATTTTTAGGTTATAAAAAGTTAATAAAAACAAGATGGTTAGCATTTCTTGTTTCCTCCTAAAGTTTTATAGATGACGATTGTATAATTTAAGACTTGTTAGTCATGCATCTCTCTAAAATCCGAAAATACATGTTTATATAGGATATCTATATAACTAATACATGTTAGCTCATTCGCAAGATGTAATCTATACTACGAAATCTGTTGTCAATAATTTAGGAGAGTACACGTATCCCAAATTCTGTCGTCTGGCCACATTTTCTGGACTCCACAATTTTGAGCCGAAATTTGTCAATTTTTGTTCCATACATCAACTGCAATAGGCCCAACGATCTTAAATATATAACTAGTCTTGTGGTACTTTAAATCGTTATATAAAATATCCCATGAAACCACTTTTATTATAGAAAAAAAAAGAATCAGAGCTCTTGCATACTCATACCGTTGAATGCGGAAAAACTCTATGTGTTAGTATAATTAGAAACGTGAGTTGGTTTGAACGGAAAAAAAAAAAGAAAATTAATTGCTATTAGATTGTTGCTTACTTGCTTATGATGATTTCCTCGTAAATTACCGTTAAAACTTATAAGGAAATGATGACTTAAACACTAAATTAATTATGGAATAGCGATCGTCTTTTAGTTTGGTGATGCCATGAATTTCAATGACTACACGTCCACAACAATTACAGAGATGATCATAGAAAGCCTACTAATTAAGTAATAAATAAACTGATAACATGACAAACGATTGATTGCCAAAACATAACCTTTATATTTTCTTGCCAGCGTTTATATGGGACCGAATGAACATAATATTTTTGATGGAGTGTTTTCCCAATTAAAATATTTTCCTCCTTATTCAGGTACGTCCGTGTAATATAGACAAATAATATTTGAACGCGTTCAATAATTGTGATGTGGTTACCATATTAGAGTGGATACTTTGGTATATCCTTCACCACTAATTATACAAAAAAAAGAAAAGAAATGAAATTACTTCTTCTTTTTTTTGAAATCAGCTAGTAGTAAAATAATTAATACTGAATTAATTTTTGAAACACAAGAAATGTTTTTTTTTCTTTCGAAAAGTATTTTTTGTTAAGTGTACAAGATTGTCATAACATAAACTAAAGAATATATGAGGTGAACCAAACTCTATTATACAAACATTCAGAAAACAAATGTAGTTATTGCAATGTTAACTTTTGATCAAAGAGCGTTCGTGAAATATTTGGTTATATCTAAGTGAAAATGATTCTAACTTCATTCATTACTGTCTCTGTGATTATAAATCATGCATATTTAACAAAAGCATTTGGTTAGTAAATATATCGTGTGGAGAATTTGACCTTTTCTTTGTTTGGTAGGAGAATAAATGTTTTATTGTACTTTTTCAGGAAATGTATACGTCAAAACTAATTTTTCTATTGAAAATATCAAAAACCGACCATATCAAAGTACACTTTCGGCTCCAATAGATATGATTCGACTAAAAGGTAAATGACTTGTCTTCTCTTTTTAATTCACAATGACTGCCGTACAAGTCCTCCTCGAATGTTAATCGCCGGCACTTTGGAAACTTGGTTTGAGCCGCCGTGAAACGGTGAAGATACGGTGGTTTATTTGGTTTGACAATCATTGAAATTTTTTTATTTAACTAATTTTAATTTATAACAAGGAGTGGAGTTGATTGGTGGCAGACAAGAATCAAAATATCTTTTCATAATGTGCGTAAATCATGTCTTAATTACCGATTACTGTATTCTCTCTCTCTCTCTCTCTCTCTAAAAAAAAAAAAGAGCTTACCACAACATGACACATAAGAAACTAATTGTGATGTTTCTAGACTTTGCCTCCGTACTTGAAATTTAACTCGTAGTCTTGTTGCAGGGTTTTTAGAGAGTTTCTACAAGGACCTTCTGCAGAAGAACAAAGAAATAGGGGGAGGGGGAGACAAGCAAATCACGTCAAAAACCAATTATAGAATTAGAACCTTAAGAAAAGATTTTGACAAGTAAAAAAGAAAACGGTATTTACCACCAAATACTGTATGGAGATATTGTAAATCCTTAGGTGAGCAAGTGTCTATAAGAGCATACACACCAGGCCTTAAAGCTTCATCTACCTCCCTGCAAAAGTTGCAAACTCAATTAGGTCTTATCTACTTCTTTAGGTGGCATCTTAAAACTTCAAAACAAACACCATCAAGCCATATTTGCAGTAAATTAATTGTAGTTTATGGAGTCTCTGCTGAAGATTCATACGAGTTTCACAGTAAGGGAAATGTGAATGAGAGAGATAAAAGAGAGGAGACTGTTACCTTTTGATACCCGTTTTAAGAGGCCCATATCCGGAAGAAACCCATATGTATGTTGATAAGAACTTGAAACAATGCTGTCCAAAGATTTCCTTCTGCTGTCTTAACTGCAATTCAGTTGTTTTAAAAGCAAAAATAAATAAATCAATGAGATGCACTTAGCTGTAGAATCATAAAGACATCTGATCTTAATTCATAAACTTAGTTGATAGCTTTATCCGTCCACAAAATTGGTAAAACTGAAACAGGTTTACATTCTCAAAGAAAAAAAAAAGGAAGAAAGGATAGATGCAGTGACATACCTCTTCATAGATCCTCCGGAGGAAACAGGCACATCTGATTCCCTCTTCCACTTCCCATGAAACACAGTTACCCAATTTATTTCCTGCTGTCTCCAGACAATTAAGAAGCGCAGAAACAGATTCTTGCAGTGTAGCAATGGAGCCCTCAGTTTCACTAGATGTTGATATGTCACAGCAAGGACGAAATCAGAGGCAGTTCTAAGAAGGTAAATATGAACAGGACTTTGTGTGTAAGCAAATTAAATTTGTACTTACTTCTTATGATGCTTAATAGCTGTATATAGTAGTCGGCAGCAAGCAGCATACAGGCTCATTGAGAATTTCTGGTCTACTTGAAGATCTTCAGAGCTTCCTAACAGATCTTGTCGCTGATCATCCTTATGTAACAGATTTCCATCCAAAACCGAGAATCCCACCCTTGTACTCTGAAGGTAATCACGAAAAATTGCTCCGGGCATATGTATGGACTGGCTTATGTGCGATGAATCCATCTGAAACAATGCGTGTTTCCCTGCTATTCTTATCAAAACTTCGACACACATAAGAATGACTGCACCAGCATCGGGAAAGTTGGGACCCTGGTTGCCAACAATTGCAGTTTTGCGGAAAATAAATGGACTCTGCATGTGAGCCATGATACTGAACACTGCCGACATTAATCCCTGAATGTGCCTTTTAACCACATTCAAACGTTTGCGACCTACAAAACAATTTTACTATTCAGTCGACCGGACAGTAATGCGGTATACCTTCAGAAAATATATAAAAATTTGGGTTTGGTCGAATCACACTACAAATAGATACTATCTTCAAAAATGGAAAATACATAGATTGATTTCTTTACTGTAAGTTCACTACTACAACTATTAATCTCAAGTATACTAATATTGCCTATAGGAAAACAAATTTTTACCTGTGGCATGCTCCAGAATGAGGTCCAGACAGTCAATACCGGCAGCAGCAGTTTCAGAGATTCTGCCCCCATCTCTATTTCCAGTCTGTATGCTATAGATAGCTGGGCACACTTCCCATACTCCAACCAGGGCTCTTTCTATAGCCTGTACTCCTGACAATAAGTCTGACTCTGAGGAGCTATGTATAAACACTTTAAATGACATTCTAAGCCTCCCTTTCAATTCATCCAACCAATGAAACCGGCTTTTTTCTAATAGCACTTTCTTAGCATGGATTACATTAGTACCAAATCCTGTCTCATGAGATTCCAAGGTAGCCTCTTTTCCTTGTAACGATATGCATTTGCCAATCACCTTCAGGTGCAACTCTATCAACTCTGAGTACAGATCTTTGTTTAATGTAGGGTTAGATAAGCAGAAGTGGCTCCCTAATTCTTCTAGAATTTTCACTGCACCATCTAACCAAATAAATGAGAATTCGAGCGGTGCCACGCTCATGCCAGCGAATACAGAGAGTAGATCCTTTGAAATGCCTGTGAGACCAGAGACAAATGTAGGTGAGAAGGTAATGCCATCGATCTGCAGATTTAACCTTAAAACAGCAGCGGAAGCAATTAACAGATGTCTAAGTGCCAATACTATTTCCGAAGAATCACCCTTTATCAAGCTCTCAATAATTTGTATTTTCACATCCCTGCTACTCTCTACTACGTCACCACACCCAAGGCCATTTGCACCCTCGGTCCCATCAAGCAATCTGGTCCAGTTGATATTGGCTTGTATTTCCCGCTGCACATCACCACTAAGAAACAGACACTGTGCGAAAACCTCAAAAAAATTGCTAAGAACATGGATAATGCGGGCAAGCTTCAAAAATTCTTCTGATTTCCATCTCAGTTTTTTGTTCTGATGATTCTTCTGCATATCTATGTGACTCACTGCAGATGCTAATCCCCACAACAACCCACTAAAACAAGAAAATATGGGTGCTAATCTGTTCAGTATCAGAGTCTCACATCCAAAGACTGTTTTCTCATCTCTTAAGGTAGCCCTCAAAGCATTTAGTAGAGTTTCTGCCTGTTCTGTCAAGCTCTGAAATATAAGGTTCGATTGTCCACTTTCCTCAGAAAGTTCTGATGAAATGAGTTGTTCATTAAACAGTGGTATCGCCTTGCTGAATTGATATTTACTTAATGTTAGAAACATATATGATGTGTGATCCATCAAAGAAAAGATGGCGTCCCTTGATCTTCTTGTAAACTCATTCCTAAATCTCTCTTGACAAGTAACCGCAGCTTGTGCTGATTTGAAAAGCCAAGAAGCCAGCAACGAACTATCAGATAAAGGCAACTTGGTAGCTCCTAGCACCTTGTCACAAGACATCATACCAATACTTTTCAAAGTTTTTCTGCAAGTGATGAACAGCCCGAAAAGGTTTTGCACATCACCCGGGGATAGCTTGTTCAAACATCTCAACATACTAAAAACTATAACCCTACAAGAGATATTGACAAAAGTAATATTTGTTAAAATATTTGCCAACAAAATTAAGGATAACAGATACGCCTTACTGCAGCAAAATCATATGCTATAGACTATTAGTTACCTCTCGAGGTCGAGAACAAAATTTGCATAAAGTTGGAATGACTTCTTATTCGTATACTCCTTGGGCATACCACACAAAAGATTTAGCAAATTTTGACAAGCTGTGAACTTCCGATTGTCCAGCTGTGATACATGTGCTTCTACAAAATCTTCTTCTGATTGAAGCTTTTCAGATAAGTTGGCAGTTGAACTTTCAAGCAAGATTAACACCTCTGACCAATCTGGTGGTGAATCAACTTCTTCAGTAAACTCCTTGAAAAAAGCCTCTGCTGTCGTTTTCAATACGTGAGAAAAACTTGGCGCCAAATATCTGCGAACAAACTATTTGAAATATTCAAATGAATATCTGGACATAGACGCTTAAAGAAAGAAAGTAACAAAAAAGAAGGAATCGGATGATTTTGCACAAACAAAGATGACTTACTTCATGCTCATACAATACTGAATCACAAAGAAGTCCTAATGAGAACTGTTCCAACCCTGTTTTCTTACTTTGAGTGCCCTTGTCTACACTATTCTCCCAGCCAAGAGTAGACATACCTACTCCGCTCAAAATACGAGGAACAGAACTACCTATTAGCTGAGACAGGAAATTCTTCAATTTCTTTTTTCCAGCATGGGGGCACCAAATATCAATATGTTGGCTAAGAACCCACAAACGCACAGCAGGCAAACACTTCCTATTGATGCCCGATACCTTGAGATCCCACTGATCAATGTTATCTATCATTTCAAAAGTTCCAACATCAGAAAAGTTTGGTATGATGTTGTTGCCCAAAAGGAAATCAGCAAGCTCTTCTCCTTCACACTTAAGAACTGATACATGCTTGAGCATTGTAAATTGCATCTGATTATCACTTATTTGTGACACATAATCGAGTGATTTTATGTACCTGTTTAAATCAACAAGTCTCTGAAGAGCGACACCATACAGTATGTATACCAGCAATGAGCAATCTGCACTGTCATCCTTGAGGTAAACAGCTGAAATGTGTTTGATAATGTCAACAATAGAAGCTGAAGGTTGGCAGATCCATGAAAAATAGCCTTCATCATACCAACTCTTCTCTTTTACCCAATCACTTCCGCAACGAGCTGCAAAAGAGTCGCCCATGATACCAGCCATCTCTTTTGATTTTTTTGGAGGCATAAGACTAATCACCTGCCTATATAAGCTTCTGGAAGACATGTAAATTCGCAAGAAGAAGACAATAAACAAGCGCACAGACTTTCTGTACGTCTCTCTATTCTTTTCAGCCATCATAATGTCCAACCCCTTTCCGGTGACAGCAGAATGGAAAATTTCAATGCAATCTGAGTCTGAAGAAACCAGGTGGGTTAAGCAAGGCCGGATGAGATCCACCAGATTATTCATGGACCGGCCAACAAGGTTACTATTCCCGGATGTAATAGTTAGTGAGTCGAGGACAAGTGAATAAATATCAGACAAAGCTCCAGCCAAGCATGCTGCTACCTGTCCATCTTGTTCTCTAGCACTTGGTGAGCAACTAACTCTTATCCAATCCATGGCCTCTAATACATCTGTAGTCAAGCTCTCGATACAACCACCTGCTTGGCCTTCTGGTATACCTTTGATAGCTCTATGTATAGCAAGCCTTAAATCTAGAAATGACAAGAGTTTTTCCACTGATTTTGCGCTCCTATCTAATAGAGAAACAGAAGACCGTGGAAGCTCTTTGGTGTCGATCATCTTCCCATTATCACCATCAGCAGATATCACAAGCCTTACAGCTTTGCACAGAGAAAATACAGCAACACCTACCTACATCATCAGGGAAAAATTAGTGTTCTTCAGAAGGAGAATGAAAATATGACAGACTTCCAAGGTAGAAAACTCAACCACTCAAAAAGGAATAAAATCTTGACAAACCTGGCGGAGCTCACTATATAAATTTATCAACTGACATCCAAGACCACGTAACAATGACGTCAACGGGCAGTCATGTTCTGCATTCTCTGATGAAAAACTACTAAACCTCAGGAAAGAGAGCATGATTAGCCACAAAGAAACTAAATCGTTCTCAATAACTTCATATTCGATTTGCAACAAGTAGCCTATTGCAATTATTAGCTCCTTGGCTAATAAAGCATGCATCGCTGACCCTTCGTCATATGTATAATAATTTTGTAACTGAGAAGCAACTGAAACTATTGTTATGAAGATCTTCTTCAAGAAACAAAAGCAAGCTCCTCCAGATGCATCCTCTGTTCTCACATATATTCGCTCATGAGCAAAGTGGAGCAGCAAACTATTTGCGGACTTAATTACACAGCAGAAATCAGCTAAGAGAGATGCCATTTCAGATCCAGAATTAATAAATCCATCGATCTTAAGCAATATAGGTTCCATAAGATGCAGGAAGAAATCAAAAAGTGATTTCCGTGTCTCCAGGCGGAGGGAACTTAAGCAATGACTCTTTGCAGAAGACTCATTATCACCAGTAGCTACTTGCCCAGCAATTGAGGCCTTTGTCGCCATGCCTTCCTGCAACTGTTTTGAATCTCTTTGTTGTTTCATCACTCTGTTGATAAACAACCTAAACAGTGACCCTATACAGCTTAGCTCCAACTCCATCTTCATTAGTAACATGTCCTCGAACTTGAAAATAAAATGCCACTGATAGCTTTTTTTCTCTCTCGATTCTTGTAAACACCTTTCCGCTCCGCCTAGAACTAAAAACCCATCAATATGAACTGAATGAAACAGACCCAGAGATAATATTTCTTGAATCAACTTCAACAAGGTTATTTCTAAACCAGAGTTTTTGTCCTCGCTGAGATTCAATAAACCCAGCACAGCCAATAAGGGCACAAAAAGCTTGTCCAGAAATTTTTTAAACCTATCGGTATTAGTTGGATGAGTCATCAAAAACTTGGAGAATGGCTCAAGAACCAAGCAAGAGAATTTAAGGACAAATGCATCGGCTAGGCTATCCTTGATATTCTCTGCAAGAACTTTATGTGTGAGCTTCAGAACTGGCTCGACACTTGAAATCCACAAGCCTAAATTTTCCTTGGACATGCCACTTTTCGACGAGAACAACAAGCCAACACAATCAACCATAGAACTGTAAACTTCAAAACCTTGACCACTACGATAATTGACCTCGGAAGACAAGGGCATGTTCAGTGCAGATAAAAGATTTTCCGCGGCAAAACCTATAGCCTTTAGAAGGTAACTTGACAGATGGATAGAGACGTGCAAGATTGATGACTGATTCAAGCAGAACGTGAGGATCTCCCAGCATCTGAAGTCCAAACAATTATCAGCCTTTACTTCTTCATTGGAAGCAAACAGTTTCTGGATCCATTCACTGAGATAAATAATCAGCCGCGATGTCTTAACCGCTTGACATTCTTCATCCTCGTCAGTCTCTACATGTGCTTTCACAAAATTGAAAGCCAACTCCACCTTCCTGAAGATCATAATCCCTTAATCATTAACAAAGAAGGCATTTTTTATTTATTTCCCAATTCGATTAGAAAACATGAAACACCAAAAACACATATCAGCTACAAATCAGCAAACTTTTTTTTTTTTTGCAGTGTACTAAATTTTGGTACTCTTAACATATGTTCTCCAAATTCACAAACCCAAAACAGTAGCATCGTCAAGTAAAGCAAAGAATCAAGAAGGAAAAACTCACTCTTTGTCTCCCAATTCACTGCTATTCAACGAAAGTATAAGCTCAAGGTTCTTCCATGGACGCTCTCCGGTGATAATGCCCGAAACACCTTCCTCTTGATCACACGGATTGATTTCAACGACATCTACCGGAAAGTCGACACATTGGGTTTTAGAATTCTTCTTCGTCTTCTTTGTCTTCTTCGACGGATTAGATTTCTGCGGATTAGTATGCTTCCTTTTCATCTTCTAAATTCCAAGTCTTGTGAATTCTCGGAATAATACGGATTTGGCGAGAAGGCGGTGACTGGGTTAGCGGAGAAGAAGACTGATTTTTAAAAACCCTAAAAGGCTTAAACCCTGCCGGTGACAAACAATTGACGGCGACCGAATGCCTTACGAGCTGCAAGTTTTCCTTTTTTTTTCTCAGTGTTTATTTTTTTTAATCCTAACTAGATTCTAACCCGTGAATATTTTTTTATTGTTTAACAAATTTTATAATATAATTTGTGTTTTTAATTTTAGATATAATTATTTTTAAAAATATTTTTTTATAAGTGAAATTATTGATTTTTGTGTTTAGATATATTTTTATAGTATTAAAATTAATTATAATTATAAAAATATAATATTAAACCGTCCGCTAATATTAATTCAAAATGAACTATTATAAAAATATAATTTTAAGTTTTCCGTTCATATTACCGTATAATATAAATATTTGTTAAAAGTTTAATATGTATTAAAAATATTATTTAACATTATAGTTTTCTAAAATTTAATCAACGAAGGGAGTGTACAACTGGTATTTCAAACCACATTATAGAGTGTATGTAATAATTTTTAATTTTTAATGTTTTTATTTTGAATAAAAAATATATTTTCGATATACATGTATAATTTAAAATTAGTGATTTTAGTTACCAAAATATTTTTAACCCGATTTTTATATATATTTTTAGTTCTATAAATTTTAAAAAATATATTTTTAATATTTAAATTATACATTTGAATTTTACCTATTATTTTATTATTAATTTGTAAATAAATCATAATCGTAAATATATTATATAAGCAACATAAATATCATATCATTTACATCATTATAAATATTTATATTTCAAATATGACCATTATTTTTCATATTTGAATTTTTTTTTTTTCAAAAATTTTAAATATTTTTGATAAAAATGTTTAATAGTATAAAAATTATTTAAATTAGAATCTTTAAATCAAATCTAAATTAATATCTGATTTATTATTTTTAATCAAATCAAATCAAATCTAAATTACTTATATTTAAGGAACTTTAAAAATATTTAAATTAATAACTAATTATCGAAATTAAATAGAAATAATTATTAAAATTATTTTTAAATACTTAAAAAAAATTAGGTGTGTTTGGAAGCAAGTACTAAATGTGCTTCTGTTTTAATATAATAGATGGTTAGAGAGTGTACCGGTTATGGCATAAGAATTTGATTTTCTTTTTGTCAGACCCTAGAATCCATTCCCAAAATTATGTTGTAACTTTTTTTTGGTATAAAGTTATGTTGTAACTTGGCATTAGCATTTGATTAAATCCTTAAATTTGACATTCGACAGTATTCAAAATTTTGTTGGAAAATTTAACTAAGTAATTATGTGTACAACAATTTGAATACAAATTAAAATAGAATTATCTTACCCATATAGCCAACTAAACTAAAACCTGTTTAACATATATAAGTGTTATCCTGAATCTAATTTAGTAGGATGTTAGGACTTAGGATAGTAAATAATGTAAGACTTTTGGAAGAAACATTTGTTAGAGTTCAGTTTATGATTATTAATAATATTTTGATTCAACCTGATCCAAATTTAAACGATATTAGCTCAAATTAAATTGATTATAAAAAAATAAAGATATTCTTAGACGTATTGCAATATCAAATTAACGATAGTACTAAAACTCTAATTAAAGGCATAGTATGTAAAAGCTATCAACGGTCAACAAATTATAAATGGTTGTGTGTTAATCGGTAATCTACCATTTTCTTGATTAATTCCTACGTACCATTAATAAGACAATGAAAAGTCGTCTATCAAGTTTATGGTTACAAGTTGACCCCCAAAAATGGGATTACGGCTATATAGTATTTTGTATAAAGTCGCAAATGGGCAACTCCTTAAAAACATTCAACTTGCTTTGTTTTTTTTCCTTTTTATAAACTTAACTTGTTTTGTTATTACGTAAATATGTAAAGCATTGACCTTATTGATCCGTATTATACACCGGATTTCATATTAAATTAGCACATGGTCAAATAAAAACATGTGGAGTATGCCTTCTGAATACGGCATTTGTAACCATTTTTGTTTGATATATTATATATAACTACATAATATTGAGAATACTGATACAAAATCATTTGCAGGTGAGTAAGAGAATAACAAGTATTTATTAGTTTTGTACTTTTCATTATTCTTTTATTTGGTTTTCAGTTAAATTTAATCATATGTTTCAAAATATTTAGTTTTTATTATTCTTATATTTTTATTTACATTATATTTACTCTTTTTAAAATCATTTTTAATTATTTATTATTTAATTTATTTTAAAACTTATTTATTTATATGTGTTGAAATCTGATCGATTGACTAGTATATATCACGATCATGTTAACTACTAATTTGAGATATCAAACTTAATATATAATTTTATCTTCAAAAGAAATGTAGGAAATGTACAATCTTGAGTTTTAGCCCTACTGCCCTAGGCCCCTAGTATTATATATTTAGGTGGTTACTAAAACTCTTTTTGGGTGAGAACGATAAGTATATATGGTTAGGTTTCATTTGCATTTGGTGGAGTATGGCATATATTGACCAAACTTCTTGCATGGGCTCGTAGTGCACTTGTTTGGTTTGGGAGATTTAGAGCATCTCCAATGGTGCTCTATATCTTGCTCTAAACTCTATTTTTAGAGCAAAATGAACTGTAATGGTACTCTATATGTTGCTCTATAAATAGAGAAATGAACAGTGTTGCTCTATATTTGGAGCAACACTGTTCATGGCTCTATTTTTAGAACATAACTTTTTTATTTACAAAACAATCCTTTATTTTTAATATCTTTTCATTTTATATCTAAACAATAATATAAGTAACAATATTACACTGAATTCAATTTATACTACTAATAACTTATTATAAAATTATTTTAACTTAAATTTTAATAACAATATATATTTTAAAATTTTAAATTTTAAAATTATTTTAACTCAAAATAAAGTAGAAAGAACATTTATAAATTTTCAAAAGTAGAAGGTGTTATCAGCAATTAATACTAAAGAATAAAATATAATATTTATTTTTAAAGTGAGATATAGAGATGACCATTGGAGTAAACCCCTTCTCTATTTTTAGAGAACTCTATATTTAGAGCCAAAAATAGAGCCAACCATTGGAGATGTTTAGTCTAATAAATATTTTGCTCGTTTTTTTACAAAAATTTAGTTTAAACTTACTTTTTAAATATCTTAGTATAAATTTACAGATTCTCCAATCTCCTCTCTTGTCAACATGTATTTATGATAATATGCGTGTGAAGTTGTACATGAGATGAAAAAAAAACACTAGGGTATTCTTATCCATATTGAAAAATATATTGTACTTAAGAAAATTATATAATAAACGAAAAATCCATTTCAAAAACGTATAGACAAGTAATTAAGAAAGTGATCTCTTAATTCATGCAAAACAATACATATAGTTTTCGAAGTCTCCCCCTTACTTCACTCGTGGCCTCATCCTTTATATAGTCTTACAATTCCCTAATTATCGAAACACTTACATCTACGGATCAGAGTTCGCAAATCTCGTCCATATACTTAAACCAAACTTTTCTTTCTCTCTCTCTCTTCAACGTTACTCTCTCCTCATTTTTCGTAAAACTCGATTAGCGAAAAATGGTCGAGGGAGTGTCCAAGACATTGTGGGTTATTGTAGCCACCGTGTTTGCAGCAGCCGCGGCGGTAGCACCAGTGGCGCGTGGACAACAAACGCCGTGTTACTTCGTGTTCGGAGACTCTGTCTTCGACAACGGTAACAACAATGTCTTGAACACAAGTGCAAAGGTCAACTATTTACCTTATGGTATAGATTTCACCCAAGGTCCAACCGGTCGGTTTAGCAACGGACGTAATATTCCAGACTTCATCGGTTAGTTCTCAAACCTGTTTACTTATAATCGACTGAACAAATATGTGTCAATGTCATATACCCGACCTGAGTTACCTGACCATCATCGTTTTTTTTTTGGTTTAAAAAAGTTATTCACGAATTTAAGTAATAACACAATACTATCTTTAGTATCAAATTCAAAAAATACCATTAGTCTGTAAAACTTCTAAAAATAGCACAAAGTTTATGAGTGGTTCATAAGAGTTTAGTAATTAAGGGTTACTAAATCATTTAGGACTTCTTCCTAAAATTTTAGTAACCATTTCTATACCTAAAAATTTGTGACAGTTTCCGTAGTGATTTCAGAAAACAAAACATGAAACCTAGCGTTTTTAGAATTGTCTTTTAAATAATACAAATTTCACAATTTTTTTCGTTTTAAAACAAATACTTGAAAATTGTCAAACTTATTAGATCCTTCATAGAAAGAAATGTTAAACTAAAATATATGGTGTCTAAAATATGATTGGATCATTTTTTTTTTCGTAATCGGTTTGAAATATGAAAGGATCATTGTGTACTCGTAATAAGATTTTAAGATATATCGTGTGTAAAATATGATTGGATCCATAATAGAGTTGGAATATTTTTGTTTCAGCTGAACTAGCAGGTTTCAATAGTTACATTCCACCGTTCGCCGGAGCATCACCGTCACAAGCTAACATCGGAATCAACTATGCTTCCGGTGGCGGCGGGATCCGGGAAGAAACCAGCCAAAATTTGGTAATTGATGACAACCTAAATATATAACATCTTATATCTAAAATAAACCAACTAAACTGATTTATAAATATAAATATATAGGGAGAAAGAATCAGTTTGAGAAAGCAAATAAACAACCACCAGTCGGCAATTAGAAACGCGGCGGTGCCACAGAGTCAGCTAAGACGGTGTCTATACACAATCAGCATCGGAAGCAACGATTATCTCAACAACTACTTCTTGCAACCTCCTACCTCGGCTCGTCGTCTATTCACTCCTGACCAGTTTGCTGATTCTCTTATACGCCGCTACCGTATTTATTTGATGGTACGTACGTATATTGTATTTGTATAGTAAAAATATTGTAAAATTTGATCTATGTTTTACACACAATATTACATATATGTGAAGATGTTGTTTTTGCCGACCAAATATAAACGAGTATGTTTATATGTGTGTTATGTATAGGAATTGTACGTACTAGGAGCGAGGAATGTGGCTTTGTTCGGAATCGGTAAGATTGGGTGTACGCCACGGATTGTTGCTAGCATCGGTGGTGGAGTTGGTTGTGCAGAAGAAGTGAATCAAGCAGCTGATATCTTCAACAATGAGCTCAAAGCCCTAGTCACAGATTTAAACAACAAACGTCCTGGGGCTAAGTTCACTTATGTTGATCTCTTCTCTGGAAATGCTCAAGATTTCGCCTCTCTTGGTAACTCCATACTTGAGAACAATTTGCTTTGAATGGTATAACACTGCTTAAATCAAGAACTTATAATTATACATTATGAATTTGCTTCCTTTTTTTTTGGATTTTGTAGGGGTTACGGTTGGTGATAGGAGTTGTTGTACGGTTCAACCGGGTGAAGAACTTTGTGCGGCGGACGGACCGGTTTGTACAGACCGGACCAAATACATATTTTGGGATAACGTGCATACCACGGAAAAGATTAATGGGGTAATAGCTAGCTCGGCGTTTAACGGAGCAATAACTTCTCCGTTCAGCATATCTCAGCTTGTAAATTAATTAATAACGTGCCTTTATATATCCATTTTAGAAATGGACAGGCCTTTATTATACTTTAAACTGGTTTCGGAAACCATATAGTATACACAAGTTATCCACTGAATAATGAATAAAAGGATTGCAATGTAGTTGACCCCAATAACAAAGTTTTGCACACTTGCATTATTCTCAAATCAATCATGCTTCGCAATTTGGAAACATGCAAATTGTAATTGATATGATAATGAGTCATATTTTAGTATAAAAGAAAAACAGATTGATTACCTTTACACTAGATCTGGAGTGTAAACCTAAGAATAAGTGATTTTCGAGGTTTTGGTGGCTTGGATATTATTTATTCAGCACACTGCAAGAAACCTACACTAATTCATTGATCAACCACACATCAAGAACGCTTAAATAGGTTTTAAATCATCCAAAAGTTTGGAGGAAATGAAAATCACTATTGTTTTTCACCACTATGTAAAATTTGATTTAGACCTTGTGAAAGCCCAAAAAGGAGAAGGCAAGCCCAATGTATTAATAATATATTAAGCATTTATTTTTATATTTTCTCTTTTCAAATCCGAATCCGACTGGTCTCTTCTTCTTTTCTTGTCCACGTCTCAATCTTCGACCGAATTCGAACTTACAGTGTGAGTGATAATTGAACACGATCAAGAGATGGTGGGAGACTTCACTTTCGTTACGAAAAATCTCTGCTTTGGTTTATGTTTAACATTTAAACTCAAACTAGCCCAGTTTCCAATTCCATTGGCGTTCATTTTCACTTTTCTCAATTCAGGTTTGCTCTCCCTCTCTCTCTCTCTCTCTCTCCATCGATCTTGATGCTAGCTTGATTTGATTTTCGAATCCAAATTTGGTTAAGCTTCAGTTCTGGGTTGCATTTGCATCGTTACATTAGGCAAATGTTCAGCGATTTCGCCAGAGTTTAAATTTGATATCTGGTTAAAAGTAATTGCTTTTTGAAGATTGAGATAAGTAGCTTGGTGAGTCTCTCTCTATGGATCTGAAGAGTTACAGCTTCTATACAGACTTAGTTAAGATTTTCATTGCCGATGTTATTCAATTTCTTTTCTGATTTGTAAATTTTGGTGAGAAAAGTCTGCCTTTGAATTTAGATTCTTAATATTGGATTGCTTTTCTGTGACTTTTTGAAGATTTTGACAATCCTCCTCTCATGCTCTGTTTAAGGCAATCATTAACGGTGAATGGGCTCACTCACATACTCGAAACTGTGTATCTGAGCCCGATGCAAATGGAATGTTATATGCTGTTCAGCATCAAGCCAAAGAGCAAACCTGAGAGCCAAAAGATGATGAAAAGAGGATCCAGTTCTGATGGCTTTGGAGTATGAAGATGGTGATGGCTAAACTAAAGAGGATTCTCTCTGTGAATGGTCGGGTAACGATCTCGCCAAAACCCTTTTACATCTTCTTCCTTGACTTAGGAATAAGAGAACAAAAGATTCATCTTTATGTGTTTGTAACTCTTAGTTTACAAAACACAGATTTTGATACAGATCTTAGGATAAGACACATTGTAACGAATTTTCTTTGAAATGGTTCTGTCCAGACAAGTGTATCAGAATTTCTGGCATACCCATAGATACGGTTAGCTGTTAAACCGTTTATTTAAGCTAAATCAGGATTACAAAATACCAAACTAACTCTATGTTTTCTGAATAATACACATATCTTCATCCTTCTAAAAACCATCTTTTGCTATCAAAAGATGCATCTCCCAGGGAAAAACTAAACCTAAAATCCTAAACTTCTAACCCAAAGAAAAATAAATTAATCAATAAATGAGAAGTTGAGACTTGAGAATATAAAAGTTTACACCACGGTTTGCTCCGGACACTGCTCTGACGTGGCCTCCTCTGGATGGCTAGCGAGCTTCGAGTGTTCATCAGCAGAGCTTATGGAAAACTCAGCGAGTGAGCTCACTGCAACTGACATTCCATGGCAGAGTACTTTAACTGCAATCTCAGCCAATTTCTCAGCAGTCATCATCTTCTCTTCTTCCACCTTGTCAGCTTCAACAAGCTCCATGCTCTCTGGTCCTGAGTACCTCCTCGAACCATCAGATGGATCTTCCCTAAGCTGTCGAGCAAAGATTGAACCCATCCCAGAGGCAAAGAAATCGAGTTTGTCTAGAACCGGCTTCTCGTTTAACCCGTTGAGCAACCTTGACCATTGGATACAAACTTCATAAATCGGGTGAGGACAAGTTGATAATCTGACTTTCTCTGGGTCAGGGTCGCATCTGAAACATCTGAGTAACCACCCGGTTAAAGACAACACGTAGGATCTCTGGGATGTGATCCATGCTTGGAAGCATGCTCTCCAGCTTTGAAGCTGAGTTACAAGATTCAAAGCCGATCTAGCTAATCTCTGAGAGTTTATCTCCGGTAGTGAACTCTGTTGTCTCTTCTTGTGACGGTTAGAAGGCGTTGTTGCAAGTAATCGCTTGGCCTCGTCCAATGTTCGCTTCTGTATCTGGTGACACTCTGCCATCACCTTCCACATCTGAGCTAATCTGTAAAAGACAGTTTCAGTGTTCTTACCAGTCAAAGAGAAACCTGTGCTTTCGAGAACCAGAAGAAAGATGGTTTTTTTAGGCATACCCTTGAAGAAGCTCAAGAAGCTGCGGAAGCAGTTCTTGATCGCGAAGAGTCTCGATCCTTTCGGAGATAGACTCGATTGAGTGTATTGAGACCTTCATCTGAGTGTGTAAATCTCTGACTATAGCTCTTGTTTTGTCAACCGAAGAGGAGTCGTCTCCTTTCACATCATGATTCCTTAGCACCAAACATTTCTTCTCATATGCAATCCGTACCCGTTCTCCGGACTGTCATCACATCAACCAAACCGGTTAACCATATGGAGGTAGAGACAGAGAGTGAACTGAAGTTGATGTTAAAAATGTCTCAGTTATTACCTTAACTTCTTCATATAGTTTCTTCTCCCACGCATATAGTCGGTTCAATGTTGATTGATGGCTACCAGAAAGCATACAAGATTCTTCTGAAAAATCACTGCTGGTTTCAAATCCGCTCTCCTTGGAACCTCCAGAAGAGCTGATCAAGAATGTTGATGGGGAAGAAGATCTTGATGAGCCACCCGCGCGGAACAAAGCTACTGGATTCAACATTTTCATGGCTGCAAATAAGAAATTTTTAGAACTGCATCCATTCTATATATACATAGTCAGAAACAAAGAAGATTATAACCTTACCGCTAAGTTCATTAGAGGATGTGTATTGCGCCCGACTAGCTTCCAATAAACCCGAGACTTCTTTACCAGCAGTGCATATGATTGCAAACTGATCTTCAAGATCTTTAATAACTTCTCCCATGCTCGTTGGCCTTCGATTCAAGTACACAGTGAAGCCAGGTGTCTCTCCTTTTGCATCATCTGTTGTAACTACATGCCCTGTAGTTTCTCCTTGGGACACCTCAACGCTTCGTGTTTCTTGAGTTCCAATGCAGTTCATGTCCCTCTCATTCTCATTAACACCTTCTGCTTTATCTTCTTGATCCATTTTACCTCCATTAAAATCATATCTTTCTTTCATGTTATGATCCTCAAACCTTACAGATTCATCTTCCTCAAGATCCGGAATCCCTTCTTCCTCACGAACACGTCTCAGCCGTCTCATCTCATCGTCCACACCACTCCTGTTATCATAGTTGTATCCGTAATAGTCCAATGACGTGAATGGATTCCAAAAGAAATCCCATTGAGAGTTCTGTGGCGAAGGAGGCGGTATATTGTGACCGTCCGGTCTCAGACTGTTGTGCTCAGGCGATTTCAACGGGTTAATGTTCATTCCAAAGAAACTATCTGCTCCATAAGTCTCAACCTGGAAAGTCTCAGGTGATCTAGGAGGCTTTTCTTCGACCTGAACCGGTCTGCTTCCACTGGCCATCAAGTAATTGACTTCAAATTCTGACTCTCCTTTGCTCTGAGTCATTTTTGAAGAGGGATGTAACTCGATGAAGCCGCCTGAGCTGCTCGTTGTCTTCACTGGAGTAGCAAATGTATCCAGCGAGAACTCGTGTGGCTCGTCTCCTTCGATGTATTCGCGTAGAGCATCTGAAACTTTTCGTAGAGATTGGATATAAGCAATGTGACCAGAAGCAAACTTAGTCCTGTGTTCCACTGTTTGTTTGATGAAACGTTTCCTGTCTTTGCAGATCTGAACAGCTTCATCGTCACCTAACTTTGAATGAGAACATCCCATTCCTCTCTATTTCTGTTTACAATCTCTTAGTTTAGCTTCAATTCCAAAGCTCAAGACTTTTACAAAGTGTTGGAGAAACTGCAGAACTAAGAACAAGATATCAGATTTTTAACATGTAATTAAACGCTTGAAACAGCTAGAAAAGCAACATAGCATTAATTAAGAGACAAAACGTTTCTCTATGTCTCATTTCTTTCTTAATTTGTGCTTTGAGATTTGTGAGTTCTTTGGACGAATCTACTCTCATTTGTGTACTTCAATGGAAATTAGTCACAGTATGACACAAAATGTAAAATGCCAAAGAAATTAAGAAAGAAAAGGGCGAAGCCAAGACCTCTTAATTTTTCTTCTGCATCCTGAGCTTCGAAGGTTAAAGGAAATAAATATGAAGAAAATGAGTAGAAAATCTAAAAACCCTTTACACATTTGTTTAACCCTTTTCTTCACTGAGGGACCCAAATAAAAAAAAATTGAAAAAAAGTTTTGATTTTTGGAAGAGAGAGAGAGAGAGGACATAACCTTTCAGGTGTTGCAGTCAATGAAAAGAAGCTGTGGAGCGTGGAGAAGGAGAGAGACGTTGAATAAAACAACGGTCAAATATTGTTGAGTAGGAGAGATTAAGTGAAGAAGAAGGTGAAGAAGATGAAGAAAAATAATAATTTTTTTATAAAAACAAATGAGTAGAACACGGAAATAAGGAATACGACTTGCCGTTATTACAACCTCGGTTTTCACGTTTATCTTCGATTTTGCCACTGTCCTTGCATTGGTTAATCTCCACTCGGACCACTCGCATTGTTTTCTTTTTTGTTTTTCTTTTCAGTTTTGACAGCAGTCTCAATGCGTCAATGGACTGCTTTGTTATTTGTTTTATTATAGTACTTTATTTATTTTACATGTCCCCCTTTATTTATTATGGCGTTAGTTAGGACATACATTTCTGTTTTATTCATCTACGAAACTTTAACTTAAGGGCGTTACAAGTTAAAACCTACAATTGAGTTTCTCATCAAAAAAGCAGGAAAGTTTTAAATATTTTATTTAATTATTTAAACATGAAGATTGAAGGACGGACCTACCAAACAAGGGTTTGATATTGTCTCATGTAAATGATTCAGATATTTGGAAAAGGATTATAAAGCCAAAGTTGTTTGATTTGTCTCATGATAAATGACCAATAAGATGAGCATGTGAAGTGTTAGTTACATCCAAGCGTGTGTACTTTTGTAATTTTCAGTGTATTTCCAATGAAAGAGCATATGGAGCCTACATGTGAGAGAAAATAATGGAATGCCTCGGTGAAATGATTTTCCAAGGCTACCCTTTGATATTTCACTTAATCATGAAGCTGCCATTTCAGTTAGAAGTCACTTACAGGGCCTATTCCTAAAGCTATTACACGAGACTTGTTTCTGGCCCAATTGGGTCCATTTGAAACCGATATCAGATTAATTGTAAGAAAAATCCAATTCTGTACTGTAAAAAATACATGTCATCTGATGGACTCTCACGGATGTCAATGTATTTTTTAAAAAAATAAATTTTATTTTTAAAACAACAAACTACAGCATATAATTGAGTTTAAAATATAATTGTTATCCTAAAACACTAAGATTATTCTCTAATTGGCGACATTTGTTCTATTCTATATAAAGAGATTACTGAAATATGAACTATTATTTTAAATTTTCAATACAAAGGAAAAAAACATGTAATGACAAGAACTAATTACTAAAGTTATGTGTCATAATACTGATTATGAATATAATTTAATAACATTTATCTATAACAAAAAGGTTAATTTATAGTGTATAACAACGAAATTTATCTATATTCAAGAGTCAAGAACCAAGATCTTTTTTAAGTCACAAGTTCCAAGATTTTTAACGAAGAAAAGTCTGAAATAATAAAGATTAATATCCATTTCAAAACCAAAATATCTTTTTTACCAAAAAAAAAAAACCAAAATATCTGTTTCAGCAGTGTTACATACATGTCGCCACGTCACGCCACCCATTATATTATGAATTAATTAAAATATTCTTAATTTGGAAAACAATTTTAATTACGTACGAATTCAGCATTGACATTTGGTAATAATTTTTTAAAAATCGTCAACCAATAAATACCATTTTTATATCAAACCAATAAATATATATTATTATCTTTCCTTATAATAGAACAGACTGAAAAAATCAAATGATAAAAACCAAGAAAAGACAAATAATTAATTTCCCTCCGACACTAACCCTTAAAACGAAGTATCTCCTCGAATTTCTGTCCGAGTACCTTTCGCGCAACGAACTATGGTGAACGGTGAAGAGGCGAATAAGAAGAATTTGCAGACAAGCTACTTCGATGTGGTTGGAATCTGCTGTTCATCGGAGGTTTCTCTCGTCGGAGACGTTCTCCGTCCGCTTGACGGCGTCAAAGAATTCTCCGTCATCGTCCCTTCTAGAACCGTCATCGTTGTCCACGACACCTTGATTTCGCCGCTTCAAATCGGTAAAACAACAGAAAAAAAAAACAATTCTTATTTTTCTTTTTTAATTTGCATTTTTTTTTTACTTCCGTCTCGTCGTTTTCACGGATAAAGGGCTCCTTCGATGAGGCCAAAATTTTGTTTTATTAAGCTAATTTTTTTGGGGTAGATTTTGAAAACTTGGTCCAAAATCTGAATGACTATCTACTTTCTATGATTTATTTTCTATTCTTTGGCCTGAAATCGATATCTTGACAGTGAAGGCTCTGAATCAAGCAAGACTAGAGGCAAGCGTGAGACCATACGGAGAGACGAGCTTGAAGAGTCAATGGCCAAGCCCTTTCGCAGTTATTTCAGGTGTATTGCTTGCTCTCTCCTTTCTCAAGTACTTTTACAGTCCGCTTGAGTGGCTCGCCGTTGTTGCTGTGGTGGCTGGAATCTTCCCCATTCTCGCTAAAGCTGTTGCTTCGGTCACAAGGTTCAGGCTTGACATCAACACTCTTACTCTAATTGCTGGTAAAAGATCAATCATTACAAGGTTTTTTCTGTTTCTTTGATGATGAAATGAGCTAATGCATCTAATTTAGCTAATTCTGTTCTTCACAGTGATCGCAACATTATGTATGCAAGACTATACAGAAGCTGCCACAATTGTGTTTCTATTCTCGGTTGCAGATTGGCTAGAGTCAAGTGCTGCTCAAAAGGTTTGTTTTTTTTGGTTCCAAATGCATCGATATTTTATAGAGCATTAGTTCTACTTCTTTGGTTCTATCTATACATATCATCTTTTCTGGAGTAACAGGCAAGCACAGTGATGTCGTCTCTGATGAGCTTAGCGCCAAGAAAGGCCGTGATAGCGGAAACTGGACTAGAAGTTGACGTAGATGAGGTTTGGATAAACACAGTTGTTTCAGTCAAAGCCGGAGAAAGTATACCGATTGATGGAGTTGTGGTGGATGGAAGCTGTGACGTGGATGAGAAAACATTGACAGGAGAGTCATTCCCTGTCTCCAAACAAAGAGACTCAAATGTTTTGGCTGCAACCATAAATCTCAATGGTACCAAAAAAACAAAATATATCCTTTTCTAGCTTGGTCTTTTAGATGATACCAAATTTTCAGCTCATTGCCACTAAATTTTGTATCTTAAGGTTACATAAAGGTGAGAACTACAGCTCTAGCCAGAGACTGTGTGGTTGCAAAAATGACTAAGCTTGTAGAAGAAGCACAGAAAAGCCAAACCAAAACTCAAAGGTTTATAGACAAATGTTCTCGATACTACACTCCAGGTCAGGAATCATATACAATCTTCTTGTAACATTTAATAACCTAATTATGTGATGAGTTTCATAGAGAAAGGAAATTTGATCCCATGTTTCTTTATTCTTTGTTCAGCTGTTGTTGTTGTAGCAGCATGTTTTGCTGTCATACCGGCTTTGTTAGAGGTTCACAACCTTAGCCATTGGTTTCACTTAGCACTTGTAGTGTTAGTAAGCGGTTGTCCATGTGGTCTTATCCTATCCACACCTGTGGCTACCTTTTGTGCTCTTACTAAGGCAGCCACATCCGGGTTTCTGATCAAAACCGGTGATTGTCTAGAAACCCTGGCAAAGATCAAGATTGCTGCTTTTGACAAAACAGGAACTATCACAAAAGCTGAATTCACTGTCGAAGATTTTAGGTCTCTTTCTCACAATATCAATCTGAAAAATTTGCTTTACTGGTAAGTATGTTGAATGTAGTTTTCCCACCGGAATTAAGATTCTTTTTTTGTTGTTTTTGTTGGCCTATGTTATAATAATGGATGCTTACAGAATTTTTGAGATGTTTTTCATAGGGTCTCGAGCATCGAGAGTAAGTCAAGCCATCCGATGGCAGCAGCGCTTATTGACTACGCAAGATCAATTTCTGTTGAGCCTAAGCCTGATATGGTCGAGAACTTTCACAACTTTCCAGGAGAAGGAGTTTATGGGAGAATAGACGGTCAAGATATTTACATAGGAAACAAAAGAATTGCAAAGAGAGCTGGATGTTTAACAGGTCTCAGGACTTACATTCCTTTTTTTCAGCAGTTTAACGTGTTGTTCTTGTATGTTATCTATCTAACATTTGCAAGATCTCTTTTTTTTTTGTTTGTGTGGATGCTACATAAAGTTCCTGATATCGAAGTTAATATGAAGTGGGGTAAGACTATTGGTTACATATACATTGGAGAAAAACTGACCGGAAGTTTCAACCTTTTGGACGGTTGTCGACATGGGGTTGCACAAGCTCTCAAGGAGCTCAAGTCCTTAGGGATCACAACTGCAATGCTCACAGGAGATAACCGAGACGCAGCCATGTCTACTCAAGAACAGGTGAAAATACAGAGTCATTATCTTCTCATTCCCCTGTCTCTATTTTAGTAGTCATATATATATAATCACAACGTTATTATTTTTACAGCTAGGGAATGCTTTGGATATTGTTCACAGTGAACTTCTTCCACAAGACAAAGCAAGAATCATCGATGAGTTCAAGAGCCAAGGGCCTATAATGATGGTAGGAGATGGGCTTAACGATGCACCGGCCTTGGCTAAAGCAGAC